ATGACCACACGGGGCTTCAATAGGGAGCAGGCAGCAAGGATGGATCAGGTTTGGGGAGGCACAGCATTATCTGCTTCAAAGGGCAGAAAACACCCGTGGGAACTTTGATCAGGAACGCTGCTGCAGTGATGCCACCAGCCCAGGAGCTGCTGAGCAAAGCAAATAATCTCAACCACTCCATGTACAGCTCCTTCAGACTTTTCACCATCCTCGCGTCCCTCATTTGGACAGTCTCTAACAGCTTTATATCTTTCTTGTACTGTGGTGCTCAAAGGTGCACCCAGAACTTGAGGTGAGGCTGCATAAGCGCAGCCTGGGTCACCTTTGCCCAGGTGGCCACCTCCACCCAGGAGAAGGTGACCCCTGTGCCCAGGAGCTGAGCGTGGGCTCACGACAGCAGCAGGAAATCCTCTGAAATCCTCACGGTCGGGCACCCATCTGACCCATATCCGCGGCTCACAGCGTCCCCCTCACTGTCAGCACTGCAAGATAAGAAATTCACCTTACATTAGTGAACTGATTATTCTTAATACCCAGACACTGATCATATTCCTGAGGAAAAGGAAACATAAATCCCTCCCTGCACTGACAGCAACAACCCGCATCCCTCGATAGGAGACAGCTAATTAAACCTGGTCATTCCAGCCAAAGCCCAACCTGCGTGTTTGTACAAGCTTTGCGGTCAAAGCACATGAAGGATTTGGACCTATTTCCCCATTTTCATTAATCACAGGGAAAATTCTCCACTTAGAAACAATGCTAGAGATATACCTGATAGGGCTTTTTTTCTTCCTTGGCCACTTCCCACTTGGCAACAGGGATGAAGTTCTGCCTTTGCAAAACATTTTGAAACCTGTTTCTGTTCCAATTCAGAATCACCCACCCCAAAGCTTTCCAGGTTATCTGTAAAATAAAACCTAGAGAAATTTATGGCTTGAAATGCTTCAAACTGATAAACTCAAAATATATTATTTTAACTGTAATTTTGGTTTGTATTATAAAGCAGAGTGAAAATGTTAAAACCCACAGAGTACATACCCTTTGAAAATGGGAAATGTTGTTTTGAAATTGAAGGAATAGAATGTTTTTGCCCTGGGGACCACCTTCATTTTCCTCCAAAGCTTGACAGAGTTTCGCAAAACATTTCAAGTTTGATGTGCTGTGTTTTGGGGGGAATTGAGCTGTCTGCTGGGGAGGGTAAGGAGAAACTCCAGGAGCAAAGAAACAGCTGGAGTTCGGACAAGGTGCAGCGGTGGCACAGTGGGATCAGTCCCTGCAGCCAGGCTCCAGTGCTGCTTTAGGTTTGACTGTGGTGCCCCGGAGCCCCGTCCCAGCTGCTCCGGCAGGGTCCAGAGGAGGCAGAGGTGCACGGGCAGGCAGCTGCTCCAGGGAGGAGGAGCAGGCAGCCCGTGCTGCTCCACTCCTGTAAAAACCCACCTCAAACCCTTCCCCGGTTAAAAATAAAGCAGCCACTGACCTCGGAGATTAATCAGTGGGCTGGTGTCTCTGCGTGATGTCACGGCGTGTTTTTCCACAGGCCTGTCAAGTGTCAGCCCCGTCTGATGTGCCGATGACAGCCGGGCTCGCCCGCGGCAGCGGCCCGGCAGATTTATGGCCGCTTTCTCCCGGCTCTCCCGCACGCACAATACACAGATGCCTCTGCAGGATGATGGAAACCGGGGCTGCAGGCGCACTGTGGGTATTTTTAGGTGTTATTGCACCATTCCTGGCCTTCGGTGACTTCTGTGACTAACACAGCTGGGTTTGCGGTGATCCATCTGAACCTGGGCGCTCGGGCACGCTGTTGGTCTGGTGGGCAAGCAAGGGAGGGATGGTGCCAGGTCCGAGCTGATGCCACAGCGTGGGATGGATCCTGTGATGGGAAACCAGTCCTTTCCAGTACACCACACCTGGCCAAGGCGTCGGTAAAGCACAAAGCTGCTGGTTGGAACTGCAGGTCTGACATCAGGGTTTTAATTTCACTGCTTGACCTTTACTCCTGCTTGCAGTTGAACCTACAGCCTGATCCCCTTCCCACATCTAAAAGGCAGGAGCTGCTCAGCTCCAGCCAGGCACCAGTGAGCATATGTGGGTGGGAAGAAGTCCCCACAATGTCTGTGCCCAGATGGCAACGGAGACCAAAGGGTTACACGCACACCACATGGCTGCAAGGCGAGGCACTGCATGTCCACACAGCAATTCATCAATTAATCTGAGAAGGAACAAAGCAATTAACACTGGAAGCAGGGGATAGACTAACTAAGCACATGCTGTCACTCTGCTAACAGGGCTGCCCTGTGCCTGTTTGTTTGGCTTCTGTTTCTATGGAGGTGGGGGCCATATCGAAGGGTCAACTCATTGCTCTGGTTATTTGTATCCATCCAAAACCGTCCTTACCATCTCAGAGCCCAAGGAGATAGCCAGGCGATAACTGGGGGCTGCTCAGCCTTTGAGAGCTGTGCTCTTGTGGGGGATAAAAGACCTTCCTACCACAGCCAAGTGCTGGAGTCACCAGGACCCAACACTAACCACTTGCTCACTTTTGCTGGACCAGGCACAGCTTGCAGAGGGCCCTGGGCTCCCATGGCCCTCATGTTTTAGGGTAGTCCCTCAGCAAGGAACCCCTTACCCACCCTGGAAGGGACCCCTACCCTGTCTCCAGACAGCTGGAACTGCTCCTGAGCATCCTCCTCGGCACAGTCTGGGCAATGTGGGGGTCCAGGGCCAGCTCTGCCAGCAGCAGGTACCCCAGCATGGAGCAGGACTGCCTGTCTCAAGCCCACATCTCTCCTGGGGCTCCACTGGTGCCACTGTACTGGGCAGTGACAATGTCAGCACTGTGTCCTCTGCTGTGCTGTGGCTGGAGAGAAAACGAGCTTGATGGAGGCTGTGGTCCCAGTAGCACACAGCCCCTCACCAGTCCCTTCTCTAAAAGTTCAGGAGCTTGGTCGAGCTGCATTATCAACCCCAAAATAAGTTTGCAATAAATTTCTATAATAGGTCTTTGTTCCCTGAGAAAAAGGGTTTCCCATGAGGTGAGCCAGCCTGGCACTGAGGGTTATCCCAGGACAGTGATTTTTCCCCTGTGATTATGCAAGGCTCCGAGTTATTCCTGGCACTGCCACGTGAGAGGTGAGCTCCTTGGCAGTGCCCAGCATGGGATTCGGAGGCACGGCTGCACGATGACAGCAGGACCCAGTGCCAGCAGGAGACACAGCTGGAGAGGGCAGGGGCAGACATCCCACTGCCTTCATCTCCAGCAAAGATGGGGTGACTTCTGCAGAGAGGGGGTGGCTCTGGTACTCATCTATGGCTTCCAAACCCTGTCTGAAGGTGCCTGGAGCACACTGCAGACTGGGTGCCACCGATGGAGCAGCTCTTTGGAGCAGGGGATGCTACAGACCAGTCTTGCCAATACATTTACTTACCCTGCTCTCCTTAGGCATAACACGGACCATGGACTGCGCCTCTGCCCCTGCCACAGCTCTGTGTGTGACACCGGGCCCTGCAGCAGCTGTCCCAGCATCCTGGCATGACCAGTCACCACCTTCAGCACCCAGAGTAAATCTGTGGAATGACCGACCTGCTAAGAAAATAGAGAGCCCATTCCTTTGAAGTTAATGAATTGTGAAAGCCTTTGAAAGCAGAGACTTGTTTATTTACTCACCACAGCTCATGTGGATGAAGCACCCAGTCACCCTGAGCACTGCTAATTTGAATGGAAGATCAAACGTGAGGCTCTGCCCAGTTGGAGGAGTGAGATCTGCCCTGGCATCTTCAATGCCCAATGCAGGGAGAGTCTCGTACAAACCCAGGGCAGTCCATGGGCTGTCAGGTGGGTTTTATGGGGAGAAGCCTCAAATGAGTCACCAGGCTGACAGAGAAATTCAATATCCTGGGTGCAAAGCTCTAGCACCCAGCCTGAGCATTTCACTTCCACACCAAAATTCAGCTGTGATCCCTCCTGCAGACAGCGTCACCCTCCCCTGCCAGGGCTGGCACTGCTGCCTGCGCTGCTGCCTCTTGCTCTCACCCCGAGTTTCAGCCTGAACTGGAGGTCTCTTGCCCAGCACCACATCACAGCCAAGACCTGCACATTCACATGGACGTCGTGCTTGTCACCTCCTCCCTTTCCCTCCCCATGAGAGCAGGGTACAGGGTACTCAGCCTCCTGTCTTTGTGTGGAAACAACCCAGTAACAGAGAAAAGCCCACGAAACAGTCACAGCAGAGCGTCCAGCATTCTGCCCACTGTCATGGGTCTTCTAAACAAATTCACAGCCTTCCACAGTCTATAAATATCAGCCTTTTCAGTGCCACCACTTGGGGATAAACTGTAATGCAATATTCTGTGTGGGTACTCGGACAAAAGGACAGCACCCCACCAGCACCAGCTTTCTGTCACTGCAGTTTTCTGAAGTATAATTGGATTATAATCATGTGTGAGCTCCTAGTCCCTGCTTCTCCTAGGCTGGGGAAGTTTCTCTCTGATCTGAACAAGAGGAATAGGAAGGAAAGAGCAGAGGGAGCGGAGCTGGCTTGAGGGGAGGGGGCAGCTGAGGGCTCTGGCAATGTGGAAAGGACTTTGGTGGATAATGGGGTTTACAATCCCAGTAATTAATCAAGTATATCACGAATGTGACAGTGAGAGGTTGCCAAAATGCCTGCTCACCTCCGTGGTGTAGAAGGACCAGCCAGGGACTGCATGGGGAAGAGGGAAACTGCCAGGCAAGGCTGGCCTTCACCAGCTGTCAGTCACCAGTTTTAGGGTGATGAAGGAAGGAAAGCTGAGAGCCCAGGGCAGCTCATCCACCAGCTCTCCCTGTCCCACAGCCACAGGTGATAGAGGCACGTAGAGGAGGGAGAGCCCTCGCCAAATTAGTGCAAAGGGCTGTGTCTGAGCTTGGACACTTATACCCGATGGCCACTTTAGCTGTGGCCAGCACCATCCCAGGGAGTGTATGCCCACTGCGTCCCTGTCCCCCAGACCGCTCCCTGCAGGTCCCTGGGCACCTGTGGGGTCTGCACCGCCTCCGCCCCACGCCTGGGACCCTCCCGGCCGCTCCCGGCGGGGCGATCTCCGAGCGCGGCCCGTTCCGGCGCGCCCCGGGGCCGCGGGAGCCGCGACGGGCGGGCGCAGCCGCCGGCGGGGCGCGGAGCCCCGCGGGGCCCGCGGAGCGCGGCTCACCCGCGGTTTCCCACCCAGCAGTGACACCTGGCGGGGCGAGCGCGGGCGGACCGGCCCCGGCCCCCGCATCCCGCTGAGCCCCTTCCCCGGACGGGGCGGCCGCGACCGGCGGCTCCGCGCCGCATCCCCGCGGGTGCGGGCGCGGCGGTGGGAGCGGCCCCGGTGCGGGGCGGCGGCGGGGGCAGGAGCCCGGAGGGGGCTGTCCGACGTGCCCCCGGGGAGGCGGGGGTCGGTGCGGCCGGAGCGGCGGCTCCGCGTCTCTGACTCTGCCCAATGAGAGCCCGCAGCACGGCGGGCTCCGGCAATATTTGGCCGCGGCCCCCGCGCTCCCATCCCCAGAGCGCCCTCGCCCTCCGCGCACGGACCTCCATGGCCCGGCCCGGCCCCGCCGCCCGCCCCGCGCCGCTCGGGGGGTGCGGGCCCCGCTGAGCGCCGCAGCCCCGCGGGGAGCCCCCCCGCCGCCCCCGCGGCAGCATGAGCCCGGGCGCGGGGGCCCAGCCGGGGCTCGCTCAGCAGCGCGGAGCCGGCGGACGCGCCGCGGGGCCGTGACGGGCAGCGCCCCGAGGGGAGCGCGGGCAGGACCCCCTTCCCCGGTCATTTCTCCGTCTGGACCCCGCCCCGGAGAGATATGCTCAGCCCAAACCGCCTGGAAGCGTCTCCTGGGATTGCCGTGGCCCCGGGGCGTGCGGAGTGCGGAGCCTTCCCTCGGACGGCGGGCGCGGCCCCCCGGCTTTGCCTTCCCCTCGTCCTCCTCCTGCTTGCCCTGACGCCCCGCGCCGACTCCTCGTGGTGGTGAGTGAGTCCCCGCGACGGCGCCGCCGCCCCGACGATCCCCGGGCCGCGGCGGGCGGGAGCTGCGCGGGGCGCGGCCGCGGGACCGGGATGGAGATGGAGACGGGGATGGAGACAGGGATGAGAACGGGAATGGCGCGGGAACGCGGACAGGGTGGGGACGGGGATGGGGTCGGGGACGGGGAAGCCCGTCTAGGGCACGGAGCCGGCGCCCAGCGCCCGACGCGAGGCCGTGGGAGCCGGCGGGACCGGCCGGGGCCGTGCGGGCTCCCCGCGGCTCCACCTGCGCGGCTCCGGCCGCTCCCGGGCTCCCAGAGCAGAGCGGCCGCCGGTGCGGAGCGGCGGACGCGGAACCGCCCGGGGCCGGTACCGGTACCGAGTCTTGCTCCGCGGCGCCGTCACCGCAGTGGTCGCGGGCACCCCGCTCCCCGAAAACGCCGCCGCTCCTTCCCTGGGGATGCGCCTTGCCGCGGGGGCAGCCGAACCCCACGCGATGTGACACCTGGACAGCCTTCCCTCCCCGCGGCACGCTTTGGGCAGGGGGAGCGGCAGCAGCTTGGACCCCCTGATCCACCCTGACCCTGCCGGAGCTCCCATCCCCGCGGGCTGCGGTGTTGCCTGCACACTTATTTACTTTGCTCCTGGGAAGCGAAGAAAGTTGATGTCCCCCTTCCTTTAGATAATATGAGGCTTTGTAAGAGACAGAAATGACGCCATAACAAAAACCTTCTGGAAATTAGTCTCCTCCTGCCCCGGTTCATGTAACAATGAAAATTCATCTATGCAGAATGACAGTAATTAGGAAAACAAGGATCGAGAAGTTTTCCAAGTGACCCTGTGCTGTTTCAGTAGTTCAGCAATGCTGGAGAAAAAAAATTCTTGGCTGCAGTAAAGTTCTCAGTGTCCCCCACCCAATAAAAGTCCTCCCTAATCTTGTGGAAAACAGTGTTTTCCATGCCAATCTCATCATCATTAACAGATCACGGTGGATGAGGCAAAACTTAATCAAATTCAACCCATCTGCCACTGAAAGAAAACGATAGTTTCTGGAAATTCTCAGCTACCGTGGAGCACTCTGTAAGGGGCCGGGAGCACTTAATAGTCACACAGATAGCACAGGTATTCCTGGTGTTTGAGAGCACGTCTTGGCGTGTGGCAGCCTGGCCGCGCTGGCATCCCTAGAAGAGCGATTCCAGGGTGAGAAGGGCTGGTAGGAAAGCTGTGGGACTAGGAAGGAGTGGGAGCTCAGGGGACAGGCTGTTCAGGCAACTGGTGGCAACCAAGCACAAAAGCAGCTTCTTCAAGAGACCAGAAAATGCTCTGGGGGACGAATGGAAAGTAGAAAGAGCAAGGCTGTTCACAGCCATGCCCAGAGGAACTTTCCCGAAGCCTGGTCAGCTGAAGGGAACGGGAATCACTGGGAGAGAAAATGAGTCACTGCTGGGGAACCTCAGGTTGATACAAGCACTGACCTGGCTTCCCGAGCCAGCTCTGCCCCAGCCCAGCAGGGCAGGTGAAGGCAGGATTGCTTCCGTGGGCAAGGTGAGGTTGCTAAAATGCGAAAAGCTGAGGAAGGAAGGAAGGGACAGTGAAGAAGTTGTATTATTTCCATTATCACAGAGGCTGGAGAAACAGAGGTTCGTTAGAGCTGAGGAGTGGGTGCATGGGATAACATGGCTGGGGAAAAAGGAGGAATGGGGCAGTCACAGCATCATCTGCCCAGAGGTTGGCAGTTCTGGTAACACACGTGGATGCTGCCTGAAGGGTGAAAATTCCTTCTTTAGGAGGAGTGTTAAACCACCTATTTCCCTCGCTGTGGTACCCCACCTCTCCCCCGCGGTCTGCCCTCATTCCAAGTGCGTGTCCCTTCCAGCAAGCGGGAGGAAAACCAGCCACGTTTAAAGCCTCAGTAGCTGTGGCTTGTTTGGGGGAAGCTGGATTTAGCTCCCACAGCAGTTTGTGTTCTCAGCTTGCAGGCCGAGCCCCGGCTGGCAGCTCGAGGGGAGAGGAGAGCAGGGCAGCCCCGGGGAGCTGGGCTGGGCTGGGCTGGGCAGCCCACGCAGCCCCACGGCCACGCTGCAGCCAGGCACCATGCCTTGGACATTTTACCAAGCACTATTGGTCCCAAGGACCTTAAATACATGACATTTAAAACAGAAACAATGAGAAATGGAATATATTAAACTCTTAAGATTCACACTTCCAATTGAACTTTCTCTTCTGGAAAGCGGAACATTCCTAAGAAAAGCTTAAGTTGAACTGAGCGCTGTTGTGCTGGACGTGTCAGTCCTGATAAAATAGCGTGTTTAGATGAAATTCTGTTTTACTGAAAATGCTTTCAACCAGCTGTGGTTTGGAAAAAAAGTTATTCAGTGATTTGCATAGGTTTCCAAGCACATCTTTCACACCACTGATATTACAGTAAATACATTTGGTGGTGCATCATCCTTCCTTATTTTAATTATTACTGCCAAATTCTTCTAGGGATTCACACACAATAAACTTGTGGAACTGGAGGAAATGCTTCTCATTTTCAGAGTCAACTTTTTAAGTAGTTTAATAGGAAAAATTGGGTGTCCTCTGTTCACAGTACATGGAAAGGAAATATCAACCAAATGTTTCTTCTAAACAACTGCAAATTATTAATTTTCAGTGACGTCAGGCATGGCCCAACCGCCTCCGAGAAACACCAGGAATTGGTGAACTTTGGCATCCAAAGCCGTGGCCGTGGGTGGGTGTGTGTGCGTGTGCACGTGCCCAGGGCACAGGCAGAAGGGACAGGTTGGGGACAGTGTGGTTTTGGCCCGAGCGGGGTGGCCGGGCTGGAGACCGCTGTGACTCACAGTGACGGCGAGGTGGCTGCAGCTGTGGGGAGCAGCACCCTTGCATAAATGCTTCCAACCTCCAAAGTGTTACTTAGCAACAAAATACCAGCTGAGACACAGACAGAAATTAAGAAGGAATGCAACGGGAAAATCCCTAAATCCCGTTTACACTTGCGTGCGCTCGGGTAGGGCGAGCAGCATCGTCTGGGGGATGGCGGCTGGCAGGGCTGTGCCCCGCACGGCCAGAGGCTGTCAGGCCCCAAAAGCGGCCTCCGAAATTCCTTTGGAAAGATTTGGGAGATTAGACAAATGTTGCTTATAAACATAAACTGTGCAATAAACAAACTTGTTGTAAATAACTAAGTAGAGTTTACTCGCTATTGAGAGCCTGGCGAGCTGTTCTGGTGTGGAAAGCCATTCTAAAATTAAAGGTTTAGTTAAAGTAAAATGTACACAAAGCCCTGCATCTCCCTCTGCATCCCACCCTCACACACACCCACTCTCCTGCAACCCACACAGACCCCCCCCCAGCTCCCCAGCACACCAAATCCTTGTTAGCTAACTTGTTTATTGCTAACCACAGCCCTTGGAAACTACAAATATTTAATTTCATTTGGCATTGGAACAGATGGGAGGCATCAGGCTCACAAAGAGATAAAACAAATCTGTGGAAGGAAGAGGATTTCAAGTTTGGGTGTGGGTTGGAGAGCGTGTGGGAACCTGGCAACCACATGGGGCTACCCATGGTGCTGTCAGGATACCGGGGCTCCGAGAGAGCTGCTGCATCCCGGGGTGTGATGCACATGTGGGGATTTTGAGGGATGACCAGTCCAGAATGACGCTACCATCTTGGTCCAGCTGCCTTCCTCGGCCAGGGAAGGAAGAGTGTGTTTATGGGCATGGAAAACATACCACGGGCAAATGAGGAAGCAGGAGTGCCCAAGGCTCCCTCTGTGCCAGAGCAACCCCTGGGCATGGCTCTGGCCAAGGGTTTGGCAAGGACACCCCCACTGCAGATGGGGAAGGAGACATTCCCACCAGAATGGGCTGTTGGCTGTGCTCCCCCCCGTGTTCTTCTCCAGGATTTTCTGTGCATTTCCACTGAGACACCAGTGCTGTCCATGATCCATCCTTGTGCCCATCCAGCAGTGGATGGGCACAAGGAGCGATGGAGAAGTGGAGCCACACACACATGCGGATATAGGATAGAGGAGAGGGAGGCTCATTTGAGCAGGCATCATGCTAAGGTGTGTGGGAGGGGAAATAGCGTAAATAGGAATGTTTGAAATTAAGCCAAGGGAAAGACAGCTGCGTGGAGGAGCTCCCCAGCCCGCCGTGTAACCCTCTGGGGCGCGGGGCACCGCTCCTCCCCTCCGTGCCAGCCTCACCGGGCAGGCCCAGAGCAGCCCCCCGAGGGCTTTGCTTGTAGGGGGCTCGCAGGCTGTGGGGGGCTCCGAGGGCTGCGTGTCCGTGGCTGTGATCCCGGCCTGGGCCGTGGATCAGCCGCTGCCTCCGCCACCAGTGCCGCCGAGCAGCTCATCGCCCTTGCGCTCGTGGCACTGCTGCAGGCACGGGACAGATCCAGAGAATGACAGAATGGGTTGGAAGGGCCCCTAAGGCATCTGGTTCCAGCCCCTTTGCCATGGCCAGGGACAGGGAC